GCTTCAGTGCATGCATGTTACCAGGTAATGTGAGTTCTAAGTGTGAATTATGGATGAAGCCACATTTTTTCATTTTTAATGTATTTGGTATCTCAAAATGCGAAGGGAAAATATTTATCCCATCAATAGATTTGAAAGGAATTAGTTGAAACTGCCCGGAAAATGATCGTGCTTGATGGCATTGACGCAAAAGAAACGCCGTTGTTTCAGATAATTGTATCAATTCCAACGTTTTTATGAAAAACATCGCAATTTTAGCAATATGAATTCAATAATAGGTTGAGAAAGTTATTCAATAAAAAACAAATAAAAATTGATTGCTTCCACAGAATTATAGTGCAGCAAATAAAAATGAAATTAGAAAGCGAAAATATCCCGATTCAACTAAATAACTAATTCAAAAGTTGACGATTTTCTAAAATAAACCTCAATGTCTTGTGTCTGTCTCCGCAATTTGTCGGAAGCGGCCAACCGATTTAAAGTTGCCCGATTACGCAATTTGGAATTTATTTTGCCTTTCCTGCAGTTTTATTTTACAAGTTGCTCAGATTGATTCACTTCATTTTATTCGTATGTTTTCTTTTAATGTGTTTCAAATTGCTTCAGAGTATAATTTATTTGGAAGACTTCAATTATTAATTACTTATTGTCTTTTTTACACAAGGCGCTTTAAACAGCTTAATTAAAGGCAGTAAACCTTGTAATGTATTGTATATACTGACTGTGTTTCAATTCCAAATCAAAATTAATTCTTGGGTTTCAGTAATTTATTGTCTTTATTTATCAATTAAAATACGTGTGTATTTTTCCACCATCATCAGTTGGTCATCAAACTATGTTATTTTAGAAAAACTGATGATGGTGGAAAAATACACCGAAACGTATTTTAATTGATAAATAAAGACAATAAATGACTGAAACCCAGGAATTAATTTTGATTTGGACTTGTAATGTATAACAATGTTCAACATGCGCCAAGTTTATCTTTCTAGTGCTAACACTAAATGTATTTAAAATTCTCCTTGAAAAACTCTTGGGGTCCACCGAGTGTTGTTTATTGCTATTGATTCTACTGAAAATATGCAGTATTCAAAGAAGATGAAACGGAAATCAACTGGAAACGACCGCTTGAAATCGCGTAGACTTAGATAGAAACAAGCACCAGAACCAGTGATGGAAAACAATTGCAGCTTAGTGCAGATTTTCCTTATTGAATCAACAATGAGTGATTTAGTGAAGAAATTCCACACTTTATTACACTATATGTTAATACATTTTATCCAGTGTGTACGCTGTTTCCCATAACTTTTCATGTTAGTTTCCAAATTTCAATGGAACCACATATGAAACAGGATCCAAACAATATTCTAAATAATGAAACCTGATGTTATGAGGTGAAGTCGTCCAATCCAGTGGCAAAACATGTTTTACGCACCCACAGCGAATGTTTATATAGAAAACCAATTTTTCCAACAGAATTCTTCTGAACTAATTAGTTTGGTGTGTAATTCACGCCTACTCCTTCATAACTCCTTTATATGTCCGAGCCAAATGAAAAAGTTTGCAAGCAGCATCAATTACAAATCCCGATAATAAGCTACAATATAAAGAGCACAATTTCACGCATCATTCCTCAGGAACGTATTTGTCGTGGAAAAATACGTGAGAATGTAACACATGTTAAGGGCTATAGAATTCTCGAAGCGATTTCGAGTAAGTGATTTAAGAATAAAGCCACACTGGACGTGCAGACGATTCTAATGAATCGATAGCTTTATTTGTCCCTTGATGTTTTCGGGATGTCAACACGTTTCGACAAATTGCTAATATCAATAGCATAGCGAAAAAATAGTGCTGACAAAATCGTAAAGTAAGCTGATGTTGGGGGAAAACGGTTGGGTTTACGTGATGGAAACGGATTATGATTAAAACCTGAAGATGAAGACAAAGAAGCTATTTTTGTGTGAAAAATTTGAGTGTGAGTTTCTTCAAAGCCTCGAGATCCAGTTTCACAGTAAATGCTTTAAAGAAACTGACATAAGACGCTGTAGAATAACAGTCGTCTATTGGAATTTGATGCATTAAAGATATGTTTTTCCACATTAGTCGAACGAAACTTTAACATCAAATAAAAAGCCCCAAGAACCCAGTCTCCGTTTCTTGTTTTTGCAGCTTTTGAAAGGGAATTTATTTGAAGTCTTAGAAGTCTGGGCTAGTTTGACGAAAGTTAACAAGCACAAATTAAATCGCGCGTTTTAATAAATTTTGAGTTAGGCAGTTACCTTTGATTAACAATCTTGCACAATTCGCCATGTTAATTTATTAGCAGCTTTAAACAAGTTTTAAACATTTTAATCAGAGCGTTTTCCAGCAAAATGAGGAGAGTAAAATAATAAGACGTTGTAATTAAATTAAGTTTAATCGGTTTTTAAAATTGCTTAAAGGGTAAATTAGTAATGAGTTGAGCGCAGTTTTGCAATTAATTATTGCAAAACTTTAAGGGGCAAATTATGCTTTGTTTTAATTTTTTGACATTGTAATTAGACGGTTTACTTTGTACGGTGCCAGGGAATTTTTGAGAGGTTTGATAGCAAATAATATTTTTACGTATTCTACAGTTTATAAGTGTTCCTAATTAATTCATTTTGAGAAATTGTTTTCTAATCGTAAGAAAAACGACTGGTCTCTTTCACAAAGTTAATTATTTTTAATTAAAGAAAAATAGGAAGGATAAAGAAATTGCACATACAGAAATTGTAGAACGTATGATGCATTTACTATGCACATTTCTCCTGGTTTCGAAAGAAGTTTTTGTCGATTTTGGTCAAAAACTGCATAAAACTCAAAAGACCGCAATACGTTAATTAAGTGGCTAATAGAAAATAGAAAAATTAGCTAACAAAGTGGAATTAATTTGAAACCAGAGGAAAATGTTGCCATGTTTTTTCCATCGCGTTACTTTCACCTAGGAATTTTTTACCGACGTTGCAAACCAACAGTAGGCAGAGGGTGATGCGGTCGAAAGAGGCAATTCTGGGGAACTTAAAAATGCATATACATATTAACGAAGAGTTAAAGAGCATGTTAAAAATGAAAATTTTCAACTTTTCAACATCTTTTATCCGATATCAGCCTCAGTTTCATGAATGAAACCAGCCAAATAAAAAAATCCTGCCGTTTATTGAAATGTTGTTCCGGAACAGTGTGCCCGATATGATCCACGGAAATAACAGTTTTCCAACACGTTTCGAACAAATTATGGCAATTCGCTTATCTTGTCCACTATTATCTCGATATTTTCCACAAATACATCATTTCCTCGATATTCATCACGACCGATCGGTGTTGCCCTCAAGGGAGCTGTTATGCATACATTAAGTCTGCCTTATCGTGTTACCTTAATAATATTTTAGTAAGTTTGACAAATTCATAATCAGCAGTTTTTTCGAATACATTTATATTTCTTCGTTTAATAAATATGATCTGGTGATTGAAAACCGCGAAAAAATGTTACAGCCACATCATTTTGTATAATCCAATTTGTAATGCGAGTGATTTAATCTTGTTTTATAAAAATTAAAATGTTTTTAAAGTTTTTACATGTTTTTCCTATCCATTTTTCCAAATCTGATCTTCTGATATTTGAGCCCATAAAATTCAAATTTAGTTAACATCAGAAGACACTCCAAGCTCTGTTTTATCGATCTTAAACAAAAGACTTTTTTATTCGAAGATATCGCGAATAAACAGGGCGTAATGTTTGCATAAATATTTTCCTTGAAATTTAACAACCCTTTCTGAAAATAATTGCTGTGTAATATGAAAGGTTTTACGACAGAAAAAATATAAAAGCGCAACATGTTTCATCATCGTAATCATTTTCTGGCATCTAGGGCTTGCGGACATGCACACAGTTTCTAATTATACTTTTAAATATTTTATAATTATCTTGAAATGAAAATGTTCGGATACCATTGTGACATTTGTTCACACAGTTCCTTCGGGAGCTATCAGTTTTCTGTTCATCGGAAAAAGTAATTCATTATATCCACTTTATAATGCATCCAATATTTAAAACTACTGGAAATTTGTGACAAGTTTTCTCGATGTGTCCGGTGAACAAAAATTATGATCGACTAGAAATCGATTTTTTATTAATTTTGTTTTCTTGTTTTTCCAGTTGGTCATGCGAAGGACAAACCTGTTCGAACTTGGGTAAGTTTGTTTATTCAAGTTGCTTTATTCTACACGGTATGATAACACATAATTGAAAGGCTTGACACCGATGCGGGTAAAAAGCTGCAAAATTACCTGCAAGATAGTTGAACAGTAAATTAAATTTTCCACATAAACATGCGCGAATTTTTCCCATTATACACATATTAAATTTTAAATATTAAATAAAACACCTCGATTTTATGAGCGCTTCTGAAAAATGTATCGTTGCGAACTCGTGAAGCGTGGTATAATCAAGTGGCCTAAAGTGCTATTAAAAAATGTAAAACTGCACTGAAAACGCTGGAATATTCAAAGATCTGCCTGCATAGTAAGTAGACAAAACTATTTTTTAGCCGAGGCTAATAGTTGTTCAAGTGAAATATTTTGAAGTTTTTTATACTGATTTATAAAGTTATTATATGTTTTAGTTTGGTATCTAATCTATTGATATTCAAAGATTTGTGAAAAAAATGAAAGCAAATTTTTCAAGAGGCCGAAAACTTGAAACGCCCTGGCGAATATTGTGTTTGGCAGAATTTTAAATTTTGAGTCGCCCTGTATCTGCAAAATAAATTGAACTAAAAAATGCATTGCTTGGGCGATTCTATATGCTAATTGTATCCATTTTTGATGGTTTTTCCAATATGCTGAATGAAATGCATTCACGCCGCTATAGCTTTCACTGTTTAAATATTTTAACTTAATTTTATAAATATTTTTTTAATGATTTTAACAATAGTTCTCTAGCTCAAACGACTAATTTTCCATCTATAATCACTTACCGGTTTCTTCTGTTGAACTGTTGCTGGCCCAATCGTCAAGTTGGAAAATCGTTGCCTGGGAAAACTGCAACTCTATCGCGTCCGCGAAAATGAACCACAGAAAATGTGTTGGAAAATCGTACCCAAAGTAAATTCACCAAAAAAATCGTTGACGTCTTAAGAAAGACTGTCCGTTTGAGGCTCAAGGTGTGCTTTTCGCAGGTAGAGCGACGCTTTACTAACATAGCGCCAAACTTTTCCCGGCTTTAAACTTAGCGCTTTCCACCAATCAGCGTCGAGCAAATCAGCTCTGGCCAATTGGAATATTGTTCAGGAATATCGAGTAGGCGAAGAAATGCGGTGTGTAGGATGGAAAACTCTTTGCCGTTAGGAAAGAGTGGCGATAATTCTTCCCGGGATTGTTTCTTGATTCTAAAGCGTTTATCTTCAGCCGATGAAAAACTTATGGTTGAGAGAACGAAAGAGTGTGTACTTCTAGTGATTTGGATAAAGAGGAACTGCAAAAATGTGTTTAAATAAATTATACATTTAATCAAATCTTAATTTAATGCGTATTTATTAATAGCCGCTTTTGTAAAAAAATGCAGGAAATGCTCCTAAATTCTGAAGATCAGACTAATTTGTACATAAAATATTTTTTTTTAGTTTTGTTTTTAATCATGATTTTTCCATTAATTTAGACTGGGGGCTTCAAGGATCAGCAGATTCATGGAGAAGTAAAACACACTTTAGTTCTTCTGGCTTAAAAATTTCCATTCTTAGTCCGTCAAGAGTTTTTAAAGATGCCGTCTGTTTAGCATTCACTAACTTCATTAGTTTAAGTTTGTTTTTGTATCCAAGTAAATTTAATAATTTATTGGAGTGAGAGCTTATATATATTATTGCGTAAAACTATCTCAAATTCCGTTTAACAACTCGGGTCACTCCATTAGAGGGACCTTCCCTAATTGAGGGATCGCGGAGTGAATTTTGCGAAAAAGATGGTTGCAAATGTAATCCATCAAAACTCGTACTGTTTCCAAATAAATTGTTTTTAAAATTTTATTTTTCAGACAATTAACACATTTGGAAATAGTTTTCTGACTTATTTTTCAATGAATAATGCGCGGGATAAATATAGGCTTTTGTCGTCAGCAAAGTCCGGTTTCTGCCTTATTGGTTCTGATCAGTTCAGCTTAACTGAAGCAAATTCAAAAATTTTTTTGTTAGACAGGGTTGAAGTTGAACGGCTTATGCGACCATTTTCAGGCGGAAACTGATGAATGGCTGATGAAAAAATGCAGATTCTACCAACCAAACCATCACATTAAGATAATGGAAGAGTGAATGGAACCTTCAGTTTGGACACTGACTAAAGCGAAAAACGTGACTGTTTTTTTGGAAATAAAAATCAATGAACGCAAAGTTGATGGATACCCGTTCTATTTGCCTATTTGTCAAAGATAATAAACCCGAAAGTGCAAATCTGAGTATAATTATTTGTTCACCTATCAAGAGCCGTTATCATAACGATTTTCTTCCACACATGTTTATTAATTCAAGCCCTTTTATTAGAATAGTAATGTAACACTAATTGGTTACGTTATCTCTAAATGGAGGAGGAAATGAAAATATTTGTTCGGTTATCAATTATATTTTTTCTGGATATTGCAGTTAATTAGTTCCTGGCGTCAGTTTCAATAAAATCAAATGGTATCAAAATATTCCCATGGATTGGAGAGATTTCAATCAAATCCCATCAAATCATTAGTTGAAATATTCACGTATTTCGATTTCTTCTGAAGCCTGCAGAAAACAATTATTTGAACATCGACGATCAATTTGCTGCATATAAAAATTCAAAATTTCTTGAGGCAAACTTGAGCTTCCACTTTCAATTTATTCACTCGGGGTTGCAAATAATTCTTTTTTGAGTTCAGCGTTATTTTGTAGGTCAATCAAACAACTATATTCATAATTAAGGTATTTATTCCTCCATATACTCCTTTGGTACAGAATCTTCTACAAATTCCAGAAAATTCCCCACTTTGGTAAACACTGAGGTTTTCATGTTTGGCTTTAGTGTTCGACCAAACGACACCAACCCCACGAGTTTTCCATTCACCGTCAATGGACCTCCGCTGTCCCCCTTTAAATAAAAAAAACTAGAAAAAATCCAGATCCGTTGCATTCTTCTAACAATATACCAGGTGATTTCCTCCAGATTGAAACATGCGCAAAATTAAACATTAACTTTCGAATAGATGGTTCAATTTTCCTAGATAAACTTTGTATGCAGATTGAAATTCACTGAATATGCAAAAACCCAATATTTATGTAAGATATTCTGCAACATGAAATTCGAGATTAAACACTGTCGAATAAAGCAGCAGCTCTCTGTTTATACGGTTTCTCTAGCTGAAGGCTGTTTGTGCGCTTCGTTAATAATCCGAAACTTGAGCTAAGGAAAAAAGAGCATCCCCTTTTCATTATACGTGAATGGTCGGGGTGATAACTTAATTAATCAGCTAACGTGTTTGTCCTTTTGCAATATATTTTTTTACTTCACAAATATGATGTGATTCCGAGTTGGACAAAAACTGAAAGTTACTCAACGCAAGCCGTAATCAACACTGTAATTGATTTGAGCAAATTGAGAAATAATTAAACTGAGAATGTGAAGGATATAAAAAAATTCGTCTGTAAACGAATATAAGGACTTTAAGTATATTTGTCCTTAGGGCCAACCTTTGGAAAAAATGTTAAAATGTAAAAGTTCCAGCAAATATCAAAAGGGCGGACAATTTAATATTTAGAGTTTCACGTTTGATCCGTTTCTGCTTCTCTATGTGAGAGCTTGCAACTGTTGGAAAAAACAATGTTGCTTTGCGCTCAGCTCAAAAAGACAATATTAATATATCTAATTAATACAGAAGAGACCATGGTAATGAATAAATTATGCAAACTACGAAATAAAGAGCCTGCATTAGAGACAGAAAATTTAGAAAATACTTCATATAGGAAAATAAAAATAATTTAAAAGCTTATGCTGCAAACCACTAAAGCAATGTGCGGAGACAATATTGTGGTCTCGGGAAATTGACCCTCAAAAAAATAAGGAAAGAATTATGAAGAAAATACCTGTGAGTCAAAAATGCACACAAATTGGACGCATATAAAAATAAAAGAAAGTGTGCTACATCAGGTGTAGTAATTGAAGCAACGAAAGCATTTGAATTGAGTTTGTACAAAAGTATTAAAGAATTAGCAAAAACAACCAAAGCTGTTTCGCAAAAAACCGCAGGAAAGAATGTGCAAAGTCAAAGCAACGAATTTAATAACAGAACAGAACAAAATGGTAACATGTTGAAACGAACATTATTAAGAACGTTTTGCTTCATTTCCCGTCTAGAAATGAAGCAAGAAGTAAATTTAGAGCCGAGGAAGAGAGAGCAGTAAAAAGTGATATTGAACCATTGCTAATGAGCAAATTAGATGAAGCAATAAAAGATCTAAATATCGAAAAATCATCAGTTTGTCATAAGATCATGATAGAATTGATAAGAAGAGACATGGGAAATGTTGAATAAAAACAATCATAAAAGACAGTTCTAACGAAACAGCGAAAATGAGACCAAACTACGCACATCAATTTTTTTCCATATTTTTTCAAAACATTTCGTACTCACGTAGTAGGTTGATTTATGGTGCGGTTTAAGACAAACCATATTCTCAGTAATGGTCGGATGAAAAACACCCGGGAAATGTTTATGGCAGTTGTGGTGATGATCCAGTTCCACTTGTACTGCTCTATAAGAAACCCATATTTATTTATGTCTCTCATATAGTCAAAAATATTGGTTTTCTTGCCTCAAATGTGTTGATTGGACGCCAGTCTCAGTTCGTCCCCATCCAGACACTGAAGCTTTGGTGCCACCCGGATGGTCATCTGTGGAAATATCAATATTTCGCGCTTTTTCGCTAAACTTGATTGGTTCCTTCAATAGTAGCACCGACATATCACTGTCCAACGTCTAGAAAATTGGACAGAGAATTCTAAATTTAGCCCAAACTCTTTTGCGGACTTTGCAGAAAACGTCCAACATCAATCAGTTTTACCAGCAACAGATGCGAGTAGCAAACTTTCGCTTAATAAATCGGCATATTAATCTAGTTTCCATCAAGAGAATTCAATCGTCGGCGTAAATGAGTGAAGTAAAATTATATCTAGTTTAGTACTTTTGTGTTATGCAAAGTTTTTCAATACTGCCGGATAATCACATTTTTAAAGTCCTGAAATGGCAGCTAAGGGAAATCACGCTTAAAATGTTAAAGGGTTCTATAGGGTTATTGGAAAAGTTTCATAAAGACACATTTTTAAGTGAGTAAAGTTAAATTAATGAAAAAGTGTAGTTGCTTCTGTTAAATACAAGTTTGCCTTCATTAATGCGGGCCTTAGCTCATTCCAATTTGTTGACTGGGTTGTAGAAAGTTTCTAAGTCGATTCGTCTTACATGATAGGAGAAGTCTGGATGTTTAATCACTTTGTCGATATGATGTAGATTTCCGTCATAATCATGCACATAATTGGCGCCTACCAATACAGCCAAATTTTTCCTCGGAGTATCATTTCTCGTGTGCGTGCAATGAGCAGCTTAAAAAAATCCCTTCAGTTCAATTGCACGCCACAATTAAGCTCAAACCTACCGGTGAATACAATCCTTGGCTTGATTATAACTCCCCCACAAATAATTTTATTGACTTTGGTATTGAGTAGAGCCACTTGATAGGGATGTTCCGTAATATCAACCACCTTTCCGTGAAGAATATCAGCGCTTTTTCGTTCAGCTGGAATCAAACCTTACATGAATTAAATGCAAACGAAGTCAAGCACCCAAAGTAGTTTTTTTCCTCATATTTCCCAAACTCAATTAGATCAAATTGCCACTTCTGCAATGGCTTGGAACCCAAAATATCTGCAAACTGAAACCACAATGTTGGTTTTGCCAATGAACCGAAAAATTCGAAGCCGAAGATCTCAATTGAGTTAAATGCCTTGAAAATCGAATGTCAACGCAATGTTTTTCCATTTCCAAACATTTAATTTCTCAATAATCGATGACCTCAAATATTAACATTGCCGGTTTCGGATTTGTAATGTTTTGGTTAAGTAATTGTGCAAGTTTTGAATTAAAAAATTGTTTGCCATTTGTACATCTGTTAAGTTTTGTGTTATAGTTGAATCCTACAATGTACCTTTTCTAGAATTTTTAAAAATTATATAATAGCTTCTAAAAATTATGTTTTTAAAGTACGTTTTAGCAAATCAAGATCACGAAACCAATTTTTTAGTAGGAGAAATATGAAGGCAGTTTTTTGATGATCACCTGCATCAGAACCCTCTATGGGTTCAATAGCTTTCAGAAGGTTCTGGTAATGCCAAAACTCTCTGTTTTTTCACTTGCTTCTTTTAAAACTCTAATATTTTATTTATTATAAGATCAAATCCTGAATTGCAGTAAAATTGCATTGTTACATAAAATATGATTGGTTTAAACACTACTGAAAACCAAATCTAATTAAAATTTGACCAGGTTGGCTTTCCATGTGTAAAATAGCTAAGGAAATTTTAGAAACTTACCTTCAATGAAAATTTTCATGAAATTGTCAACGTTTTAAAGTGATCGTGAATTTTTAATTGCTGATATTTCAAGTTACTTTCAATCTTTTAAATTAAAATTACCCTGTGGCAACTTTTAACTAATTGACGCTAATAAAAGAATCAACGAATGAAAGCTACCATAGAAGTGAAAATGTATTAGAATTTGTTTCCTCCTTGACAAACCTGGCCATTTTTCGCGAATGCTCTTCCTGACTTACCTATTGAAAATCCGAACAAGGTTGCTAGTAATATCGTGAACCGAACATAGTTGCTGCACATTTTACTACTAAAAATACAAAATTCGAATTTGCATTTATTTTTATAGATTTCCGCTTCGAGAAACAGCAGCACACCTTTTTGGAGAGTTGCCGCAAAAGTGTAAATTTCAAAGCTTGGTTGACTATCTTGCGTTATACGGTTTAGGTTTTTGTTCGCCTCTTGATTAGTTCTTGTTGGAATCTGAACAATTTTTCAATCGAATTGAGAGGATATACCGATTGTGTTATCCATCGAAAAACCATGTGCACGTCCGCCAATCAGACTTTTGAGAATCGATCTGTTTTTCATCATTTAAACACCATAACTAGCTTTTATTATGGCTTACTGGAAAACCAGCAACTATCGATTTTTTTGCATTTACTTCGCTGTTAATCGCAGTTAATTTTTTTATATAATTCGATTAAATGGTTAGTAATAGTTCAATTCGCTGCTTTTTCTGTGAACGGAACTTATCTGCTTGATTACATGTGTCAGTTAATTACTTTTTAGTTGATTTTTAACAATTTTTGCTCAGATTACGTGAAGAGCTTAAAAATGGCAATGTTTGCTGTGGAGGCGAAACAAGAGACCAAGCTTTTCTTCGTAACGTTAAAATTACCAAAGAAACTTTTTTATTGAATAAAATAGATTACTAAAACGCCTTCCCGTTAAAAACTCTTTAAAATAAAAAGACCGYCATTAAGCACAAATTATGCACATCAACATGCACACGTTAATTGATAGCACGAAGCATGATAAAATAGATATAATTTATTTTCATGATATTCCATTTGATGTAGTTTGGTAGGAGTTTAATTATGACCGACAATGAGAAATACTTGGAAAATAATTTACTCAAAAAATGGCAAAAATAAATAGGTAAATTTTGAAGTAACTTCGTTTTAACTTATTTAACCAATAATGCGTAGTATATCCTCTTAAACAAGTGAAAGCATCAACAATATTGAATAATTATTACAATTTAGCAAATATTCCACAAAAAAGTTTTCAATTTTGAGCTAGCGCATTGTGAATAGATCTGTATCTACGGATTCTGAACGAGAA